CATGTAGTTGTGATAAAGAGAAATTTATGATAGGAACTTTGTGAGAAAGAGAGATACAACGTCTCTCTGTATATACCCTGGTGTGTCTTCTTGTACGTGTGTGTCCGTTGGCGAAGGCGTACGAAGGAAGCTCGCCTTGCATGGCGGCCTCGAGCACCTACCGACTCCCACCGGCTGCACCATCGCCATCGCTTCCACCTTCTTCCACCACCCCACCTCACCCCACTCCATTCTACCCCACCCTCTCCCACCTCTTACCTACCTATCCTCGCCGCGTATTCTGCACCTTCAGGGTGGCGTCATGTTCAAGACGCTTCCGGTGTTGAATTACCCCGTGGCTCTCTCTCTCTCTCTCTCTCTCTCTCTCTCTCTCTCTCTCTGTCTGTCTTTCTCTCTCTCTCTCTCTCTCTCTTTTTTTCGCTCTTCTACGCCTCCTCTTTTACTCGTTGTCCTTCTCTCCTTCGTCTTGTCCCTTCGACTTTCTTTCTCTTACGTCCTTCCATCTCTCTTCCCATCATCTTGGGATTCCTACTAATGTGAAAGTCATTAAAATATAATATTTTACTCGCTCTCAAATGGCCAATCCTCTCATAATCCTTTACAACTGAGTACAGATCATTTTCTTTCTTTTTTCCTTTCCTTTGTTTTTGTTTATTTTCTTCCTCTTCTTCTTCTTCTTCTTCTTCTTCGTCTTCTTCGTCTTCTTCGTCTTCTTCGTCTTCTTCCTCTTCATGACAACGAAACAAGAGGAAATATGTCGGCAACGAGACGTACTTGCCTTTTTTTTTATTACCAGCGGGATTTATGGCGTTCGAAAAATCGGGATTTCGGGATCGTGGAGATCTTTTCTTTTTGTTGCGCGATGTGGGCGGCCGTGAAGGATCCTACCAGTTTCCTCTGGTCCCTCCCGCAGCTACAACACCGCATACGGTGTCCGTTGTCTTATTTTACCCCGTTCCTACCACCACCATCACCACCATCACCATCACCATCACAATCACCACCATCAGCATTGTCTCTTCTCTCGTCACCTAAAATAGAATGCTCTGGTTCTTTCTAAATATGAGAAAAGATTATATATAACACGATAGAACGATTACCTAATATAATTTGATTTCATCTGATCTTCATTCAATCAATCAATCAATCAATCAATCAATCAAACAATCTATCAATCAATAAATCAATCGATCGATCGACCAAATCAATCATTCAAATATCAAGAGTTGTATCCTGTTTATGACAAGATAATCATACAAAAAATATATACAATACATGATTTATGATCGTAGATCCTGGATGGCGTTCTGGTTAATCCAATGAAATTAGCGTGGCTTTGGTAACAAATGCGTGGGTGTGGAACAGTCGGCCCCGTGCGATAACTTTTGGAGACAGAACGGGGTGGGGTGGGGTAGGGTGGGGTAAAGTAGGGAATAGGGAGGAGAAAGAAGAAGATGGGGATGGGGATGGGGATTGGAGTGGGGACGAAGGGGGTGGGCCTGCGTTAAGAGAGAAAGGAGAGCCTTTTACACGCACGCACGCACGCGACGCTTCGGGATAGCAAAGTCTATACCTCTTTGCATGGTGATCGTTGCATGAGTGTTTCGTGCGTGTAAAGCGTGTGTGGGTGTCACGGGGTGGCCACCTGTCTAGCGAGGTATGCGCCGATAACATCAACAGAGAAAAAGAAAAAGAGAAAGAGAAAGAGAAAGAGCAAGAGTAGGTGTGTGTGTGTGTGTGTGTGTAAAAGAGAGAGAAAGAGAAAGAGAGAGAGAGAATCAAACGGAACGAACGCCCAGTGCTAAGCAAAGACAAGGGCGGTAACTCACCCCGACAAATTATAGAGTGGCCAGACAGCGTGGCTCTTTCTCTTAAGAGGCACCCCTCCCCCCTCCCCCACCTTTTCTTTTTCTTCTTCTATCTCTTTCTTTCTTCGTCCTCGTTTATTTTTTTAATTTTTCCTTTCTCTCTTTCTCTCTCTCTCTTTTCTCTCTTTCTCTCTCTCTCTCTCTTTTTCTCTCTTTCTATGTTATTTCTATTTCTTTTTATCCCTCCTTCATCATCTTGATTTCGCACTGTACTTCCAATATCGATGCATTCAATTTGATATATATGAATGGAGAGAGAGAGAGAAAAAAAAAAGGATTGCATTACTCGAGTACACTGAATAAACTACAAAAACGAATTACGTATAAACTGTCTTAATGAACATACCTGTAAAGAGTTTTTAGTTCATTCATCGAGATATAATATTGATTCCATATCTCGTAGACTTCCCACGAAGCAGAGAAATTATTTTCCATTTCATCGTTATCATTTGCTCTTGACGAAGAGCATGATCGTTCGTCGTTTCTCGACTCGAACGTTGCAGGAGTAGGAGCGTTGCATCGCGTACCGTCGTTGGTGGAAAAAAAAAAAGAAAAAAAGTATTCGACGGGAGTTAGTCACGAAAGAAAAGGTGGCTCGAGTTAAAATATAGGAAGGTAAAGGGAGAGAGAGAGAGAGAGAGAGAGAGAGTGGAGTTGCGATAAGTCTCCTACGAGACGGGTCAGGGTCTAGTCTCTTTGCTTCGACTCGAATCGAGCTTGCTTGCTTGCTTGCTTGCTTGCTTGCTTGCTTGCTTGCTTCCTTCCTTCCTTCCTTGCTTGCTTGCTCGTTCATAGCATGATAGGACGTAGTTAGTTCAGGACGGAGGCAGCACGCATCCCAAACTTTGATTAAACGGAGTCGCAAGGACCCCAGGCCCGACTCATTTGTCTACCGTCTGCCTCTTCCCTCTACTTTCTCCACCTCTTTTTCCCCATCTCTTTTTCGTCTCTCTCTCTCTCTCTTTCTCTCTCTCTCTCTCTCTCTATTCCTTGTTCAATGCTCGGCACGTAGTACGTTTCGTATCACCTCGTCGTTACGTTTTCCTCGAAATAAAGACCGAGAGTCGATGAGAATAAAATGAAATAAAATAAAAAGGAAAGAAAATTTAGGAAAAGAAAAGAAAAGAAAAGAAAAAAAGGAAAATGGAGAAATAAATCATTTCTATGGGGGGATATACGATAAAATCTTTCTTTAGGTGGGGTCTACGTCGTTCCGTTTATATTATTACAAATGTGAATCTTTCTGACACTTACTGATTTGTGTGTGTCTCTCTCTTTCTCTCTATGCGTATGTGTGTGTGTGTGTGTGTGTGTGTGTGTAGCCAGTTACTGGACAATAAACATCAATTCCATCGGTATCTCTGTTACGATTATTATTTTTAGGTGCGAGAAAAAGACATCACGACGTTACAATAACATGTCGTTGTTGATAACTTAATGAAAAATGAAAACGAAAAAAAAAAAATAAAAATAAATCAAAAGATTAAAGAGAAAAAAAAACGAGAATGACGATTATCACGTCGACGACGACGACAATTTAAAAATTCATTTTGCAATTGAATCGAACTAATGCGAAATAAAATGGGAAACATTTGAAGGGATATGTTAAGACCTTATTCGAGGTGCTTCTGTTAAAGTCTATTAAATGTTGGTAATTGTTAATAGTGGTGACATTCGAACAACAGGCATTTGCATAGAAGAGATAGCGATAGAGAAAGAGAGAGAGAGATAGATAGATAGATAAATAGATAGATAGATAGAGAGAGAAAGAGAAAGAGAGAGAGAGAGAGAGAGAGAGAAAGAGAGAAACATAGAGATACTCTCTAGGTATCTAGTTTTAGCAAGTATAAGAGAGACAAATAGATAAGATGATAATCGAGGTGCACAACGCGCAACGTGTATAACTATAAATGGATGATGGTAAGCCACCTTCCATACGGCCCTATTCCCTTTGGAACGTCTGTATGGAAGCCGTCTATGGGTCTCGTGGATAACGCGGATATCATGTTACTAACGTCATCGTTGTCGAAGAGAGAGGGTCAGAAGCGATGAAACACGAGGGCGGACAGAGACGATGTTCCCGTTCTCTGGACCACACAACGAATCGTTTCACAATGTGTGTCCGCGAAATGTCCAACGTTTCACCTACTACAAACTAACCAATCTATCCCTACTTTCTATCATCGAGATAGTACATAATACTTTGGTATTGTGTTTAGACTCGTTGCGTGATGTTAGCGAGAAAAAACCTGACTAGTACCCCCTGACGAATTCACGTTCGGATTTTATCCAAAAAAAAAAAAAAAAGAAGAAAAAAAATAGAAAAAGAAGAAAAAAAACGCAACAAACAAACAAATAAACAAATCGATATTCTCTTTCTAATAGTCCAAAGTTAATGCTATAAATAGCCTCTCTCTCTTTCTCTCTCTCTCTCTCTCTCTCTCTCTCTCTCTCTCTTGCTCTCTCTCTCTCTCTCTCTCTCTCTCTCTCTTATATTTTATATGTAAATTTAATTGAAATCTAATCGTTCTTTTGTTAGAAGAATATAAGAAGAAGAAAAAGTAAAAAAACAAAAAAAAAGAAAAAAGGATAGTGCTATTAATACGCTCTATAAATGTCCTTTAAAGCTACGAGAAAAAAGAAAAAGAAAGAAGGAAAAAGAAAAAAAAAAAGAAAAGAAAAAAGGAGGAAAGAAAAATAAAAAAATAAAAAAAAACGGTTAATACAAGATATATCCGTTCGTTAGATCATAACACGTGCCTCTTTCCCCTCCTCCTTCTCCTCCTCCTTCCCCTCCCGCCTTACTCCTTCCGCTTATAAATATCGGATGACATTCTTAGATAAGACAATCGTTCGAGTATTACGCAAGGATTCATTAAGCGAACGTGTTCTCTTTTATTTTTCTCCCCCTTGTTTTTATATATGCATACATACATACATATATATATATATATATATATATGTATATGGGTATATGTAAATACATATATATATATGAGAAAAGGCAACGAACAAGATAAAAATGCAGTGTTCGACGTAAAGAGAAGGTGGAATCTCTTTCGTACGAAGGAGAATTTAAAGAAGAGAAGGAAAAGGAGGAGGAGGAGGAGGAGGAGGAGGTGAGGAGGAGATGCGGTTAAAAGTGTAGTTGTAGTGGTGAGGGAAAAGAGCGCCGTGCGTCGATCCTATCAGAGCCCCGAATCTTGGAATTCGAATTTGTCCCCTTTATCTGCGGATTCCATCGTAATTGCTTATCTACGATGTGCTCGTTCTCTCTCTCTCTCCCTCCTTCCCTCCCTTTCTCTCTCTCTCTCTCACTCTCTCTCTTTTTCTTTCTCTTTCCCTCCTATTCTTTTTATTTCTTTTTCACTTTCTTGCAACGGGGAGAGCCATATCCGCCTACTTTATGCGCCACGGTGGTAACCACACGAAACACGTACGTCCTCGCGTGTTTCCGTCACGCGAAACCCCCGCACAGAGCCTCCGAGACGTTTATCGTTCGTACGGGCTCGTATAAACGTCGATCTCCTTGCTTCTTCTTCTTCTTCTTCTTCTTCTACTGCTGCTTCTTCTTCTTCTTCTTCTTCTTCTACTTCTACTCTTTCTTCCTTGTACTTCTTCTACCCTTTCTTCCTTCTACTTATTCTTCTTATTCTTATTCTTATTCTTATTCTTATTCTTATTTTTTATTCTTATTCTTATTCTTATTTTTTACTCTTCTTTCTTCCTTGTACTTCTTCTACCCTTTCTTCCTTCTACTTATTCTTCTTATTCTTATTCTTATTCTTATTCTTATTCTTATTCTTATTTTTTATTCTTATTCTTATTCTTATTCTTATTTTTTATTCTTATTCTTATTTTTTACTCTTATTCTTATTCTTATTTTTCTTATTCTTATTCTTATTTTTTATTCTTATTCTTATTCTTATTCTTATTTTTCTTATTCTTATCTTTATTCTTATTCTTATTCTTATTCTTATCCTTATTCTTATTCTTATTCTTAGTCTTAGTCTTATTCTTATTCTTATTCTTATCCTTATCCTTATTCTTATTCTTATTCTTATTTTTTATTCTTATTCTTATTCTTATTCTTATTTTTCTTATTCTTATCCTTATTCTTATTCTTATTTTTCTTATTCTTATCCTTATTCTTATTCTTATTCTTATTCTTATTCTTATTCTTATTCTTATTCTTATTCTTATTCTTAGTCTTAGTCTTAGTCTTAGTCTTAGTCTTAGTCTTAGTCTTAGTCTTAGTCTTAGTCTTAGTCTTAGTCTTAGTCTTATTCTTATTCTTATTCTTATTCTTATTCTTATTCTTCTTATTCTTATTCTTATTCTTAGTCTTAGTTTTAGTCTTAGTCTTAGTCTTATTCTTATTCTTATTCTTCTTATTCTTATTTGTATTCCGCTTCCTTCATGATAACTAAGTACGTGCCTTCGAAGAATAAGTATTTTTTCCTAGAAACAAAATTTCTACGATATAAATGAAATTGCATTTACTGCACAAACATGTATATATATATATATATATATAGCGTTCAAAAAGCAAACATGTATGACGTATTACTATGATCAAATGGATGAAAAAATTTCATACGAATTTACGTCCGAATATGATTTATTTAAAAGATACATGCTTTCAGAGATATTTATGATTTATTTCAATAGTTATAAGAAATATTCGAAAATTCCTTCTTCCTGCAAGAATACCCAGGCTTCTATTCATCGAATTAGTAGTCGCCTAACTCAAATATACAAATATTTCAACTGTATTTGAAAATAATAATAAATGCATTTTGAATATTCTCAATGTTATGGTTCTCAATAATTCATCTTCTGTTTCTATCGTATTTTTATAAACTAATTCTTTTGCATGATGATCTCTCCCCCTTCTCCATAAATAATAGTCCAGAGACGTTGTCAGGTAATCTAGGAGATCATTGGTTAGCCAATCATTGATTTGACGAGATAAATCATTTAAAACCATATATCTTTTTAATGAAACAATTTTTGAGACATAAGATCATATGAATTATTTTCATCTATTTGATCTCAATAATACATAATATAAATTTGCTCCCATACTTTGTGAAAATCCTATATATATATATTTATCTTATTAGATCTACAGTTTTGTATTTAAATAGTGAAAAAAAAGGAAAAAAAAGAACAAAAGAAAAAGAAAAAAAAAAGAAAAGTAAAAGTGACGAATACTTCTTCATTTTTGTAATACCCCGTTACGAATATGGTATATAATTTATTGTTTATAATAACACAAATGATAGAACGAGCTTCACCCTTATCGAAATGCACAAGGAGAAATGTATATTTGCTCGCGTTATGCACACAAATGTATTAAAGTATATTTCTACAAACACGCATGTTCGCACACGAAAGAGAGAGAAAGACATACATAAACGCATATATATATATATATATATATATTTATGCATATATATATATATATATATATATATATATATACATAGGAGCACAAACGTATCGCATTACCATGGAGCAACGCCCATCGGTTTCGGATAGCAGTGAACGCGCGAAGTCGCCTAACTCACGTGCGATACGCAAAACGGTCAACGCATAAGAGAAGATTGATATCATCGTCATTCGTTCAGGCCGCTTTCCTTTTGCCATCTGTTATCGACATTTTCATAGAGATCAAAATAAATCTGAAGAAACGATTGGAAACATTTCAAATTCAATCAAGGAAAAGACGTACTAAAGTCATTCCAAGATTTTCAATGTTAAAAATATAATTTGATTAGAAGACGTTAGAAACGATGACAATTTGGAATCGTTTTTGATAGTGTTATTCATACAAATTCATTTTGTTCAAATAATTGGCGAAAATGTAAGTTTCTTTCTCACACTCTCTCTCTTTCTCTTTCTAGAGAAGGTAAAAAGATACTAAACAGATTTATACAATTGCAAGTTTCTATCCATCCTGGAGGTTTCCTCGTTGGTACACTCACCTCGCCTACCCATAGACAGTAGATTATGTAGTCTCCTTACATTTAGAAGCATCCGTACTTGTTCTACGCTTAGCATTCGAATTTATTGGTCATAGAAACAAGAAAGAAATTCACGAGGATTCAAGATATATATATATATATATATATATATATATATATATATATATATATATATATCGTATGTGATCCAAGGGCCAAGTGAAAATAGATTCGTTAAATCTAACATTTGTCCTATCTTTTTGTAAAATATTTTCAAATCTTTCAGGTCTTTCTTCTTCGTGAAAATCACGATAAAAGAAAGGAAGAAAGGGGGAACAAAAAGGAAAAGAAAAAAAGAAATAGAAAAAAAAAAAGAAAAAAAAAGGAAGAAGAAACGAAATTCATAATTAAAATTTTATAATAATCACATCCTGATAATGATTACGAAGAAAGAATTTCGTAAGAAAATTTCAATGACACTTGTCTCGTCCTAAGTTATATGGGCTTTCCACCTCGATCGATGTTTTCGAACGATCGATTTTGTTTCGAGTTTACTGGCAGATCGGTCAGGTAGTCCAACACCGTATTACGTTACCTGTGACGTGCACTCGAGTGCATTCACTCGCATTGGCGACTGCACGTCACCTGACTTTAACTTTGCTTAAAATTAATTAAGCCTGAACTATCGAGAAGTATCACGAGTGTTGCGATCATAACTCTCTTGATTTTGCCGAACATTACGTATCTTATTGTCGTTGATTAAAACTTCCCTAATGAAATACGATTTTGATTAACGCGTTTTCGTTAATACGAATTATATATTACTAATCGATTTATAATCGATAATTAGTTTAATAGATAATTAATTTATTACAATCAATTTTGAAATTGGGGGAAAAGTTTATTTTGTGAAAAAAAAAAAAATAAAAAGAAAAAAGAAAACAAATAGTTAAAGCTAATTCTTATTACAAATTAATATAATATTTAAAAAGAAAAAAAAAAAAAAGAAAAAGAAACATTAACTCGCCCCATTTACAAAATCAATGGTTCAAATATATATATATATATATATATATATATATATATATATATATATATATACAGCTTTGTCAATATACATACATTTTCTATATGATTTGACAATTAAATGAAGTTATTATATTATCAATTAATAAATTTTTTCATCTTTGGCAAAACGATTTTTGAAATTAATTGTAAATTAATTAATTGTAAATTATTATAGACGATCTCCAAGGAATAAACTAATTCTTTAATTAATTACTTGTACATAGTAAATCGATAAAAATAACTTTCCTAATATTATATCGCAATTATTTATAACGATTTCTATGATAATAATAATTTGTTTAATACATTATTATCCGTGGACAAAAGTTCCTATTGTATTTTGACGAACGATTCCGAACGATTCGAAGTCTATCGCATGAAAATGGAAGTGCGCTTGTCCAAAAAGGACGTACACTCTTCCTCGTATTGGTCCATGCGCGGTTTCCATGGACGCAAAACATCGATCTGTTCGCCGTTGACGTTTGTTTCGGAAACTGAGCATGCTCCTTGCCAAAGCAGACATTTTACTCATTAACCATTTATCATACATACATAGATACATATACATATATACATGGATGTATGCATATATACATAAATACATTATCGAAATGGCTACGATGTAATCTCTCCATGAATTTTTTTTTTCTTCTCGTTCATCTTCTTTATCTTAAAAAAAGAGGAAAAAAAAAAAGAAAAAAAAAACAACAACAACAAAATTTACAATCATATTTTTTTATTACAACGTAATACTGAACATTTAATTATAATAGATAATGTAATAGTTAAATAAACCATGAGCAAAAGTGTTGAAAAAGGAATATATGTATATATATATATATATATATATATATATATATATATATATATATACATATGTATGTATGTGTGTACGCATGTATGTATATATATATATATATATATATACGTATATATGTAATGAACCAAAATAATAAATCAATCAACAAATGATATAAACCGGCATGAAGTGTGTTCAATTCGATATGTTTGTCTTTTATCATAACGTTTTGTCAACAAATGTAACATGGATCGCCATCAGTAAAACATTATTAAAATCTGTAGAAAAATTAATCGTTTCAAATACCAACGTGTACGTTATTCTCAAATACCTTTTCTTTTTTTCTTTTTCTTTATTTTTTGTTTTCTCCATCTTTTTTCTTTTTTGTTTTTCATTTTATTTTATTTTTTTTTGTTTTTTCTATTTTTTTTTATTTTTATTTTTTTTTTTCTTTTTTTTTTTTTTTGATAACATACTACTTCTTCTCGTATAGGATAAAAAATAAAACGGATAGCCGATCAAAAATATTCGACGAACGAAAGACATGCAATTTGCAATGAACAGAATTGGAGTATGGGCAAAGAATACATTATTACCGATTATTAATAAATCATTGAAGGTAAGAGAAAGATTATTGTCATTAATTATCGACGAATTAATTGTTTATAAAAATTTAGAAACATTGAAAGGTACGAAGTTTCTTTATTATTTTGAAAAATTTTCCTTTCCTTTTACCTTTCTGATTTTCTTCCTCTTTAATTTCAGTTTCATACTGATCGAAATTCAGAGAAAATCTGTGTTCCCTTGAGATCTTTTTTGAATCAATTGAAATTGAAAAGTGAAGGCTGTTGGCTCGACGTACGTATACAACGAAATCCAAAGAAGAATTATTCGATTCGGAGGCCGCAGAAAAATTGCAATTTCGGAGTACTTTGCAATCGGCCAATACCGAAAATAACACGAACAATGGCACCGGAAATACCGAAGAAAACATTACCGATCGAAACGAACAAAATACATTTGAGAGTTTCAAAAAAGAAAAAAGACTCCGAAAGAATGGGAAGATCACGAAACGAAAAGTGACCTTTGCCGATAGCAAAAGCGTGAAAGAGGACAAATATAAAAAATAATATATAACAATAGTTTTAACATTTTATATTTCGATTATCAGTGAATTTCAATTACGTACATATTGTAAAAGGAAGTAAAATCTTTGTAAAAAGAAAAAAAAATACTACTGTATCATCTTTAAAATGTCATTATAAATTTTCATTGTTTATTCGCCGTAAAAAATAATATTAATAATAATAATAACAATAATAATAATAATACCAATAATAATAATAATAATAATAATAATAATAATAATAATAATAATAATAATAATAACAATAATATTAATAATAATAATAATAATAATAATAATAATAATAATAATAATAACAATAATAATAATAATAATAATAATAATAACAATAATAATAATAATAATAATAATAATAATAATAATAATAATATTAATAATAATAATAATAATAATACCAATATATTTTGATGTCTTTTTTGTGTTCGTGTGTATGCGTATATGTGTGTGTGTATACATATTCATATATAGTATGATAAACGAAACATTTTCATTTTGAAATATTTCCTAACAGATATCGTATTGCGGACAACCCCCCCCAATACATATTACATATCTCTCTGAAGTTATCACTGATTTTTCTATGTTTCGATATCTATGGATTCGATCAAACGTTGCTTCGTTAACAAAAATACCCAACTTCTCGTAAAAATGACGAATCGTTAAAAAAAAAAAAAAAAAAAAAAAAAAGAAGAAGAAGAAGAGAAAAAAAAGAAAAAAAAAAGACAGTAAATTATTAACACCGCGCACTTCTCGCTATTACTCTTCTACTATCGTCATTATGTTCCGTATTTTCTAAATTTAAAGTTTCATATTGACTCCCCTTTAATAAAAATTTCTCAATTTTAAAGTGATCATACGATAAGGGACATCAAAATGTTTAGGAATTGGATATTGCAAGACTTTTCTCACGCATTCCCACCAAGATCATTACAGGTATCATATCCAAAATTTTTTCAAACGAAATGAATAAAATAAAATAAAAAAAAAATAAAATAATAATAATAATAATAATAAAAATATGAATATAAAGAAATAATAAAAATAAAAAAAAAAAAAAAATAGAAATCAAAATTTCATTTATCGTGTTCGCAATGTGAGAGCAAATATTTTTTTTTTTTTTCTTTTCACGATTCGATCGTTACGATCGTTTTTATTTATCGAAATTGCCATTTTCTTCGTTCAAACAGGCAATAGGAACAACGAGTTTTCACACAAATCAAATTAAAAATCGTGGATTTTGGAATCTATTTGAATTTTCACGTAAAGGGAACAATTCCAAGAATGCAGAAAAATTATCTGATAATAAAACAAGGACAGACTGCGATACGATGAAAACTACGTTAAAAAATGAAGACAAATTGAACGACGTATCGAAGGACATGGTTACGTTGTCTCGTGCAGTTATGACAAATTCGAACAAAGTATGTTCGTTCAAGGATATACCAAAGTGCAATTATACGTTTCGTTACGTACCACGAATAAAATCTAAAAAGAAAAATTCTAAAAGTAATTTTCAAAAGTACGAAGAGTTTACGTCGTTGCTCGATGGAAATTTTGTACCGACGAATATGAAATTGAAATTGAAGGGTTATAAGACCCTTAGAAACGAACATGCTAAAGATTTTGCATTTATACCCGGTGACAAATCTTTGGATTTGGATATAATGCCAACAAAAAATAAGGAGGAAAATATTTCTCATGATTTATCCAGTAAGAAATAGAGCACGTGATTATATTAACGCATAGTGATTTTTTTTTTTTTTTTTTTTTTTATATAAATATCAAAACAAATAAAAATTACTTCGATTTACAGAACCAGCCGTCTCGACGGACGTAACAAAGTCGCAAACGATACCATTGAAAGAAACGAAGGATTACGGTGAAATAGAATCGAACGTTTTGTTTCCTTCTGAAAACAAAATTTCTATGAACGATATTAATCCTGATGAACGATCGATAACAATGTCGAAGGAAGCGGAAGAATCGTCATATAATTTTGCTAATGTAAATGAAAAAAATGAAACGAGAAGTGAATTAGAGGATAGTGTCTTGCAAGTGAACAAAGAAGGAAAAACGAAAAATTTGGATCAATTGGAATCTCAGAATCGGATTAGATCTAATCAAATTGAACCGAAAGAAATTCAAATGAACGAGTCAAAGTTAGAACAATTACAGGATAATAAAAATGATAAAGTACATTTACAATCCAATGAAATTGTAATAAACGATCTAAAGGAAGAATCATTGTCAAAGAATATTTCAAAAGATTTATCGAATTCAATCGATCAACCTAAATTTTCGATTAATACGTTAAATCAGAGGAAAACACAATATAACTTTAAAGACTCGGATAATGTTAATAAGATCGGACAGAGTACGACATCGTATTTTCGTTCTAAACGAATTAGTATCAACAGGACGTCCATTGATTATTCGAAGAGTAATTCAAATGATAAAAATCTAAAGGATAATCCAACAGCGATGTCGAAGTTTAGATCGGGCACAAAGATACCTAGATACAGTATGTACGAATCGAGGAAAGAACAGCAATTAAGGGCTTCCTCACCTTGCGGAATAACGTTTGTTAAAGCACGAGAGAATTCAACGAAGCAAAGATGGTCCGGTTTCGACCGAGCTGCCGTTACCAGATGTTATACCGGTGGAAGAAGTTCTGGATGTCACAGCTCAAGATCTCAAGGATCTACGCATCCTTACCCACCTACCTTGCAGACTCGCGAGGTTTCCTCGAAGTGTTACAACAGAGAGAAAGATCCAATCGTCAGATCGAATATCATCGACTCGTTCTCTAAGATACTGAGAACGAGAAACTCTGTTACTGATGATTTTATAACTACTATTAACATCAACAATTCAAAACCATATTCAAATATCAATTCAATGAATAAGATTTTCTCAGGATCGAAATCATCGACAGGTTGTACGAAATATAACGATTTTTTCTTTTTTTTTTTTTTATCTTCATCATCTATATTCTTCTTTAACGTTTATATTTAGCTCATTACAATTTCCCTTTTTTTTTTTCAAGAGAAATTTAATAATCATTTTGAATAATCATTATAATAATCGTTTGAAATACTCATTGATAAATGCGCTTATTAAATGCTAACGTTTGATTGTGTTAATACAATTTTCCAGGTATTCCGAAGACTTCACAAACGTTCGCTTATGGATGTTGCAAAAAACCTAAAAAATGTTGCAAGAAAAAACCTAAAGAAACTTGCGACGAGGCGATGATACCGGGGAAAGTGATTTGTACGAAACCAAAGAAGAGAGATTGTTGTCCAAAACCGAAATGTTGCAAACCCAAAAAGAAACCGGATTGTAAGGAATTACCACCATTACGTGCATCCTGCAATCAGGTTAAAACTAAAAAGAAGAAAATTTGTAAACGTTATTGTTGCCCCTCGTTAAAAGATACCGATTGTTTTAAAACGAGAGGTACATGTCCAGGAAAGAAATGCAATGCCGAAAGAGAAATAAAAAATGAATTTACTGAAGAAATGGATGACCCTTCTTGCTTGCCACATAAAGAAGAAATGTCGTATCAAAGAAAAAATGATTGCGATAATGATAACAACGAAAGGGATTGTAACTCGAGTCGTAGTATGTGTACCAGCCCAAAAAAATGTATTAAAAGTTTTAGCTGCATAGAAAAGGAAGAGAGTTGTTTAGATGCTATTAAAAATCAACAAGAGTTTTGTAATAAGCCTAAGAAGAAAGATTGTTGTAAACGTAATTCTAAAAGATCGAAAAGTTGTGGTAACAGACGTTATCACTCTGGAACGAAATCTCGTAAGACAAAATCTTACGTGAACATTCCAATGTTTGATGTCAGTGTGGTCGCATTAAGACCATATCAAAACGATGCAGTCCTACGGTTCTATAGCAGTTGTGAAGATGATTGGAAGCCACCAACGATATGTAAGAAGGATCAAAACGAAGATTCCTGCAAGTGTAAAAAACCAGATCCTCCCAATTGTTTAAATGTCAAGAAATGTGAAAATTCCACACCGATAGAAACTACGTGTATAACAAAGAAGGATCCTTGTGATGATAAACCAAAGGAGGATCCTTGTGCCGTTAACAAAACCGATGATATATGTTGCAAATCAAAAACTGACGTATCATCGTGCAAAGGTAAAGAGAATAATGATTAAATCAATTTACGTGGGAATACTTTTCAATTGTAATGTCGATTGAAGAAGAAGAAAAAAAAAAAAAAAGAAAAAAAAACAAAAGTATATAAATAAATATCTATATATGTATCTCTCATTTTCTTTAATTATTCTTGCAGATGAAAAAGAAGTTCGTCAAGCCAGGTGGGACAGGGAATTGCGGGAAATTAAAAAATGCAAGAACATTGGTAAAGAATCATGTAAGAAGAAGTGCAACGATTTGGATAACGTTATCAGTTCCTGTCAGAAACATAAATGCAATAAGTTCGAATCGCTCGATTTATCCAATAATTACGGTCATCGATCTTCCTCCTTTCAACTCAGCAATTCGTTTATACCATTTTGCATCGGACCAACTGACTCGTCTCTGTTGAACTTTGGAATGAAATCTAATAATATTATACCTAATCGATCGTTCTCTATGACAAAAATTATGAAGGATATTTACAGAGAGGAGTTGCCGATTCTCATTGAAACTGAATTACCTGAAAAGGAATGGGCCGACGACGAGTCCTCTTCCGAATAGTAATAATTTGTTACGATTATTTGCTGCCATTTGTTAATGAAAAAAAACAGACAAACAAACAAACATCTGTAATATGTTTAAAGAAGAAAAAAAAAATAGCAACGTCAGGGAGAATATGCTAATCATGAAACTCCTCGGGTACATCCTATATGTCTTTATATGTAAGTGCATTGTCCTTTAATATAACACAGAGTCAAATAATGAATCATAAACATTTTTCAAATGCTATAATAACGATGCAATATAATGCATCATTAAATAATATCCGTTCATTCCTATTACCAATATGATTTTATCTATAAATCTTTTGTTTTTTTTTTTTTT